CCCCCCCGTGGATTGACCCCCAGAGCTCTGCTTCTGGGACAGCTGAGAAACGGGGATCCCGGGTAACGCCGCGTTCTGGAGAACAGAGCGTCTCCGCCCGTCCCATCCACAGCGTCTGCGATTCCAGAAAATACTCTCCGTGCTAAAACTCTTTGGCGAGGGCACTTCCTAGTCGGTTCTAGATCCCCCTGTGCTTCAAGTGTTTGTGAAGCCACGTCTCTGAGACTCACTTTCTTTCCTTGTGGAAATCGAGTGCATTAGGCTAAATCGGGGGCCTGCAAACTTTTGCCGTGAAGGGCCCAATAGGAAATCGGTGCCGCCTTGCGGGTCATGCAGTTGCGATGGCAACTGCTCAGCTCTGCCACTGTGGTGTGAATGCAGCCACAGACACGATGTAAATGGGCTGTGTGCCAGTACAATTTTATTTGCAAGACCAGGCAATGGGCTGGCCTTGGCCCACGGACCCTTGTTTGCCGAACCTTGAAGTAAGATTCTGATGATTGTTTTTATCAAAGCCTCCGCGCACACTCAAGGGCCTTTACGACTGTTTGAAATGTCCAGGACCCGCGGTCTGTAGCTACACAGAGGTGTAGTTAGCAGAGAGCTGACATTAGGAAAATGCCAGATGATGGGAACTTTCTTAGGCTTGCTCCCTCTAACCTTGCCCAGTGACATGGGGCATTGAAAAACGTAGCTTCGGTTGGAGTTGAACAGTGTGGAACAATCCTTTGGTGTGTTTTTAAACTCTGGTGTCTGCTCCCTGTTGCATTAGGGCTGGCCACAGCGCAGCATCCTGGGTATAGCCTGTGATGCCAAAGGTCAGTTAGGAGCCCTCTCCCTCCCGTACTCAGCTCAAGAAATAAGACCCCAAATACACAAGCCTCACAGCTCAGCAGGTGCCGCAGAGGGAGCTGTGGGCTCAGGGAAGAGCTGGTGTGTCTTTGATCCGTTTCCTTATGATCAAAGCCTCTTGAGTCCATTTATAAGACCTTGGTGATTGGAAGAAGGTGTGTGACTGTCAGTTACCATTGATGATGCAGGTGGTGGGTTGACTGGAACCCATGTGTCAAATGGTAAGCGTTTGAAAGGATTGGGGATTTAGGTGTGGCCCTTCAGCTCTCCTTAAACTGGGGTAAAAATGGTGGTTCTCCACTCTGCACAGGACAGAAGGGGCTCTCAATCAGCCCAGGTAATATTCAGGAGCTGAGCGGTTCTGATTAGGTGAGTGTATCAGTAAGCTATTGCTGAGTAACAACCTACCCCAATACTTCATAGTTTCTCTCTGTTGTGTGGACAGTTCTGCACTGAGCCTGGCTCAGTAGCTGGGCTCATGGATGTGTCTGTGGTCAGCTGACAGGTCAGACTGGGGGACTGGTCAGTATTGGATGCCCTCCAGGTTGGCAGACTGTCAGCTGGGGGCCTCAGTTCTCTTCCACATGGCCTCTCATCCCCCAACAGGCTAGCTCAGGCTCCCTCCCATAGTGGTCTCAGTGCTCCAAGTAGAGCAAGAGGTCAAGTCCTAATGGACAAGTGCCTTTCCCATCTTTGTTTGTGTCACATTGGCTAATGTCCATTGGCCAAAGCAAGTCATATGGTCAGCCTCCATTCAAGGCATGGAGAAACAGACTGTGCCTCGGATGGGAGGATTTGCAGGATCACATTGCAAGGGCAGGGATGCAGAGAAAGGGACATTCTGTGGCCAGTTTTACAACCTATTAGCGCAAGACCCTTAGCTCCCTTTCTTACCCAGTACATCTCACATTCATGAGCAGGTGGTCAGTTGCCCTCTACTTGGGCACGCAAGTCTGGTTGGAAGGTGGTCTGTTCCCCACCACTGGCCTTCTGCCCACTTTGCCCCAGTCAGCTCCCCAAACTTTCTCTCTGGTCAGCTCCTGACCTTCTGGCCTGCCAATCTCTTTTTACATCCCCAAATTAGAAATTAGAAATCCATTGTCTGTTCGCCTTTGCCTGGCCTTTCTAAGGACCTCCTGCCTCCTGCCCTCCGACTTCCTCAGTGTTATCAGTGGAACCCAGGTACGCAGGCCTCTCTCACCCCTTTCCCAAGGGCTGGCTAATTGGAAATAGACGGGTTCGGTTAGCAGCTATCCTTGAAAAATAAGTGGTCATTATGAAAATGTGTCTCTCCACCCTACAAGCCAGCTGTGTTTGCAGCCCCTCTTCTATTATGTACAAAATTCTGAGCCCCCTCCTGAGCACCATAACTGCCTGCGAGTTTCACAAATAGCGTAGCCTTTTCCTGGCACCGTGATAAAGCACTGCAGCTTAGGGACATATAATTGGTCTCTGAAGTGTTTTGGTATTTTGTGTGAAGAAGCCAGATGAGCCCCCAAAGAAGTGGCATTTATTCCATATTACTGTGTCATTATATATTTATCCGGGGGGGGCGGGCTCTGTGCATCCCTCTTTCCCATTTAGCACCGTCCACTTGTTGGCCACCCAGGTTTCTTATCTGAACGTTGAGTTCGAAACCAAATATTTGAGTAATTTGATTAATCGCTCGCATTCGCACAGTTGGCTGGCAGAGGTCGATGGTTGGATGATAGCCAACCAACTGGAACCATTTTTGGACTCTGGATTTATTTTACAGGGAACACAAGACCAGATAATTACCTGGCAGATTCTGGATAAATTCACAATGGCGTGTTCTAGCCAATTACTTAGTAATTATCATCGACGTTAACAAGTACTTCTAAGATTAGCCTCCTTGTAATGCAGCGTGTAGGACTCTTGGGGAATGAGCAATCACCAACTAGTTACCCAACTGCTCTATCCCCAAATGCAATTAGCAGATTGCTAAATCATTCCACGATTGGGTCATTATGAGAGAGCAAAGCTATCGACAGTCTGCACAATAGCTCCTTTTAAAAACTCCAAGTGGAACCTGAAAGCCGGTAAAGATAGAGTTCAATGAAAGCATCTCTCATCCTTCCACCTTGCTGCGGAGTTTCCCAGGCCTCAGTTTCCCCATCTGTAAAATGAGCAGGTAGAAGCGGATGTTTGAGGAGCAGCCTGGCACAGCTCTGGAGCCGTTCCTCCCACAGTATGGTCCACCCGGATCTCCTGCGTCCGAGGTCAGAGAGGCGAAGGGAGCCCCTGCCCAGGTCATAGAACAGATAAGCGGCAGAACCTGAATTTGAGCAAATGTATATCTGAATATTTGTCGAGGGTGTTCCTTCTTTGTCACAGCAGCCTGGGCCAGGTCAAGGGGAACAGGCTCCACGCCTGAGCAATAGCTTATCATGGGATTTTTCTGCCTTTGAGCACATCAGAATTACCTGGGGGACTTGGTAACCAAAGAACGCCCAGGCCCCATCTCACTCGGATTTCCCTATGTTCTCAGAAGAATTTTTAAATTTTTTCAATTGGCCAGTGTCATCAGTCCCTTTGCCGGGTGCCCGAGTGTGACTGCAATTTCGTAGTTACGTGGACTGTTTTGCCGGCATGCATGGGACACCCGGCCCCCACCCATCTCCCAGGGACACAGTGGTAATGAAATCCCACAGGGGCCTCGTGTACACAGCATTTTAAATCTGGTAAATATCAGAGGCTCTTTAATAGTTTATTTCCAACTCCACATCAGTTCCTGTTTGTCAGGCTTTCAGATACAATAGCGCCAAGCTGCTATATTTACAGACAGACAAATGGAGGGCCCCGCCTTCGGCTAAGACAGTCGCTCGATGCCCCACTGAGATCTCGACTTGCCTTTCCTGGAACTCTGTATTCTGAGCTTTCTGATTGTTTTTCCTGCAGGCCAGTTTGATTGTCCTAAATATAACATACAAGAGTCGGGGGGCCCGAGCACATGGAGATTGCGTCCCCCGTCATCTAGTGGCATCGGCTTCCTTTTATGTGCAAAGAGCTGACTTGCTTTCTCTTTATAAAGCGCAGCTGAAAAGGTTTTTTGTCTGTCGCTGCCTTTAATTGTGTTGGAATGTAAGGCGTCCGGGACTTTGTGAAGGAAGCGCTATAAATGGGCCGCAGCATTATCATTAGTATTATTAGCATCTTCTCATGTACTTCGCCCGCGCCTGTTGGTACAGGGTCATATGACCGGCAGAGGACTTGCCTGGGGGAAGACTTCGCCACTGGCCGCCACTTTCCTCTGGGATATCTGTCGTCACTTAAAAATATAACTGTTTGTGCCTTAACAACCCAAGTGATAACTCGTTCGTTATTGAAAACGCAGATCAGCAAAAAGAAGAAAGTGAAACTCACCCGTCGTGTTTCCAGCCTGAGAGAATCACGGTTGGTTGTGTAGCCTTCCAGGCAGTTTTCTGAGTAGACGGCAGGTCCTCAAATAACGTCGTTTCATTCAAGGCCATTTCGTTTTAGCGTTGATGACATGCACCAGGAGCTTAACTCTTGTCTGTATCGATTAGCCTCTGACGAAGTGGTTTCGTTTACCTCCCTACATTTAACGTCACAGAGCCTATCGGCGACGTTAAGTGGGGGCATGTTGTATGTGTGGACTCATGGTTTGTATGCATCAGGGTGATGGTAGCTGCAGTAACAAATAAGCCTAAAAACATTAACACTATCGAAAGTCCCTAATAGTCCAGGATGGCTGTTTCTGGGTTGTAGGTGGCTTTTCTTTCATGTGTGGAGAGAGGGACTCAAGACCAGCCCCATCTTTTGGAGTCACCCGAGGGCTCCGAGT